CGACAAAGACCTCCGCACCGGCGCCGAACAAATTTCGGCCGCAGAGTTGGGATGTTCCCCGCTCATATCATGGGTTCCCCTACTACCGTTTTAGAGTTTAGGGTTTAGGGTTTAGGGTTTAGAGTTTACGGTTAAGGGTTTAGGGCTACTACCCCCTAGAAACTACTACCCCCCTAGGTTCCCCACTAGGGGGGGGTAGTGTAGGGAACGCATGGTCATAGGGATCATAGTACCCCCGATTATACTCCATCTTAAGGAGTTTGCGGTCCACTATGGCGGATGCTGTCTCGGCTCCGGACTTGGTGGTCATCTCGCTGACAGGCATCCAACATGTTACTCCTTTCCGAGTTCTTGACTGGCGATTGCAAACGACCACGTAGATCGTCGACTTTCGCCAGTTTTCTTCCGAAGTCACCCACGACTCAAAGAGATAGTGAAGGGCTGTTTTATTTCCTGGGGCACATGGTAATCAGCAAAGCCCTGTACCCCGTCTGCCCCAAACCACGAACTGCCAAACCCCTCGACCCTAAACCCCGAACCCCTCGACCCTAAACCCCAAACCCTGGTTTGAGCATGTATTTTGGAGTTTAGGGTTGAGGGTTGAGGGTTTAGGGCTGAGGTTTTAGAAGGTTTAGAGGGTTTGTATAGTTTAGAGGGTTCTTCGGGCTTATCGGTTTTAGATCTTGAGCAGGTGATTTGGGCGCAGTCCTTGTGCTGGACCTTATATCCCAAACTCCAAACCCCCACCCAATGAACCCTAAGCCCTGCGCCCTGCACCCTAAACCCTAAAGCCTAAACCCTAATTACAACCTTCAACTCCCGACCCCAAACCCAAAACACTCTAAACCCTAAACCCCAGACCCTCAACCCTGGACCCTACCAAACCCTGAACCCTAAACTGGAACTCAAGAACCTGCAGGCCCAAAACCCGTACTTCTCCAGTCGCTAGGGAATAGACAGTGTCAGACTTCATTATTCGTACGGAGGGCCTAGGGTTTAAGGTTTCGGGTTTGGGGTTTAGGGTTTAGGGTTTAGGGTTTCGGGTTTAGGGTTTAGGGTTTAGGGTTTAGGGTTTAGGGTTTAGGGTTTAGGGTTTAGGGTTTAGGGTTTAGGGTTTAGGGTTTAGGGTTTAGGGTTTTAGGGGTTAGGGTTTAGGGTTTAGGGTTTAGGGTTTAGGGTTTAGGGTTTAGGGTTTAGGGTTTAGGGTTTAGGGTTTAGGGTTTAGGGTTTAGGGTTTAGGGCCCGAAGCCCGATACCCAAAGACCCCGATGCCCCCGCAAGAAGGTGCCCTAGTTTTGAACAACCGCCACGTTGAAAATTAGGGTTTGCTTGGCTGCATTCAGGAGGGTAGCCATAAATTAAACTTTTAGCTGCCTTATTAAGAAACCTAATAAACCCAAAAAGGGTAAGGATCCAAAGTTACGGTAAAGTACCACAACGGAATGGTTCCTTTGAAAGATTCGAGTGTGTATGTGGCATCCTTTGGGGGACGCTAGTTAGAAAAAGTCTTGCGCATAGCCCAACACTCTGTGAGAGTCCCGGCGCCTGAACTCCGAAGTCCACAAGCCCCTATGCCAAATCCACAACTGCGATTGGGTTTGGGGTTAAGGGTTTAGGGTTTAGGCTTCGGAGTTTAGGCTAGAACCCTTATGCCAAAACCCTGAACCCTGAAATCCCTAAACCCTCACCCTTCCATTAGCTCCCTAAACTCCCTAAACTCCCCAAACTCCCCAAACTCCCTAAACTCCCTAAAATCCCTAAACTCCCTAGACTCCCCAAACTCCCTAAACTCCCCAACTCCCCAAACTCCCCAAACTCCCCAAACTCCCTAAACTCCCTAAAATCCCTAAACTCCCTAGACTCCCTAAACTCCCTAAACTCCCTAAACTCCCTAAACTCCCTAAACTCCCTAAACTCCCTAAACCCTCGGAAGAAGAGCCTCGGGCAGCGCTCGGGCTGTCAGAGCAGAGCGCTCCGCCAAGCCTCGGCTGTGTGGGGCTCCGGGGGTGTCGTTCCGGGCGTCGGGTGTGGAGTTCCGCTCTTCGGTACAGGTCCCTAAAAATCTAGGGTTTAGGGTTTAGGGTTTAGGGTTTAGGGTTTGGGGTTTAGGGTTTAGGGTTTAGGGTTTAGGGTTTAGGGTTTAGGGTTTAGGGTTTAGGGTTTAGGGTTTAGGGTTTAGGGTTTAGGGTTACTCAAAACCCTAAGCCCTAATATTAATTATTAAACCCCCCCCCCCACGCCCGCCCCTAGTATGAAATACCCCCAATATACTAGAATGTCACTGTACGGGGAGTATTAGGGGGTTAGGGGGGTTTTGATATTAGGAGGAAGGGACTTGAGGGTCCCCAAACCCTAAACCCGAATGCCCCAATAGCCCAATACCCGAATACCCTAATGCCCGAATGCCCTAACTCCCTAAGACCCTAATTGCCCTATACCCCCAAATACCCTAACACCGTAATAACCTAGTACCCCAGATCTTGTTGCGGGTCTAGGGTGGAGGCCCGAAGGTTCGAAAAGGTTCTCTCAACCCGTACGCTCAAACCCCTTGAAGCCCCCCTGTAATTAATCAAACCCCCCCAAACCCGAAACCCTCAACCCTAAACCTAACTTAGGGCGTTGAACCTTAAGCCTTACACCCCGGGGCAGTGGCGCTGCTTGGGGTGCCGTTAAAGATCGAACTTTTGAGGCGCTTTGGACTTAGGGACTTAGGGTTGCAGGACTTAGGGTTGCAGGTCTACAGGATTTGGGGGGTTTAGGGATTTAGGCGCTTAGGCGCTTAGGGTTTAGCGTTTAGGGTTTAGGGTTGAGGGTTCAGCGACCCCCATACACCAAGAATTTGAACCGTCCTATTTAGCAAGAAGCAAGTCACAATGCGTTGCTTGGGTTGAAAGCTTCGGGTTGGACCCTCTAGGATGAAACAAGGAAACCTTAAACCCTAAACCCTAAAGCCTAAACCCAAAAAGCTGCAAACTTCAACTGCTGCTCCAAGCAAGATCCAAAGGCGCCTACACAAAGGTCCCAGAAACTAAGCACCAAAACCCTAATCCCAAGCGCTGAGCTTTCCGGGGCCAGGAATTGGGCAATAACAAGTATACTACTCAACTGACCATGAAACTGGAAGCCCTAAACGATACTCCCCATAGAACCTTAACAAGAATAGTATTTAGACAAATGACAATGAAAAGTTAAGCCCTAGAGGGGCTGTTGTAAACCCTGAACCTGAAAGCCCCTACGCATGGAGCAAGCGGCAGGGCCGCAGTGGCTCACCTGCAGGCGGCACGGCGCCGGATTCCGCCACAGGGACCGCCTGCCCAGGCGCGGGTGTGGGGATTCTCTTCCGGGGTTTAGGATTCAGGGTTTAGGGTTTAGGGTTTAGGGTTTAGGGTTTAGGGTTTAGGGTTTAGGGTTTAGGGTTTAGGGTTTAGGGTTTAGGGTTTAGGGTTAGGGGGTTTGGGGGCGTCGGGTTGAGGATTTCGTTTGGGGGGTTTGGGGGGGAGTTTGGAGGTTTGTGCTTAGGGCTCTTGGGGGGGTCTGGCGCTGATTTTGATGGGGCAGTTGCAAGATTCTGCTGGCCCAGGGAGAAATTTTCTTCAGAGTTGGCCAGCATGCAGCTCCAGTCGCACGCCCTGCAACCCTAAACCCTGAAAACCCTAAATCGCAAACAGGCCAAAATCAAGCAGTGAAGCTACGGGACAGGAAGCAGCCAGGACTTGGAAACTGCCAGAGATCCTCAAGCAGCGGCTTCCTTGCGCAACTCCTCATCTGCCACGGTCGCGATGCAGATTCCGACAGGGCACCGGGCGGACGAACTCCCGAAGTGGGGGGGGTTCGATTTGGGGTTCAGGGTTTTGATATCGAACTTCCGACTTCACTAACCAGAACCCATGGGAAAGAAACCCCAACCGCCCCTTACAAACCCCAAACAGTAAAACCCTACCCTAAACCCTAAAAGCTACAGCATAAACCCCCATTTGAAACCCTAAAACTAGAGAAACATAAATCCTACATAAAACCTCAAGAACCCCAAAGCCGCAATAAGCCGAGCCCTTTTACAAAGCCCTATAAACCCACCGGTACTCATTCTTCCCCAAAAATCCTCCCAGACACCCCAGTTTTGCTTCTTGGAAGCTCAACTTTCGCTTCCAGGGACCCTCCAGCCGCCAGCCAGCCCGGGATTGGGTCTCAACAAGTCGGTGACCGCGCCTGGGTGCTGTTGGCACCTGCTCGCCCCCTCAATGAGACACCCTAAACCTTCCTAAACCCCAAACCCCAAACCCCAAACCCTAAAACCCCGAGCCCTAAACCCTAAACTTGACTAAGTCCCTTGGTCTCCCCGCGCCCGGGCCTCGGGGAAGAGCGCGCCAAGAACGGCCAGGGGCCGCTGGAAAAAGCGACTCTGCGGGCTTCCCGTGCCCGGAGAGCCTCTGTTGAGGTTTAGGGTTTAGGGTTTAGGGTTTAGGGTTTAGGGTTTAGGGTTTAGGGTTTAGGGTTTAGGGTTTAGGGTTTAGGGTTTAGGGTTTAGGGTTTAGGGTTTGGGGTTTGGGGTTTGGGGTTTGGGGTTTTGGGATGAGATTTTAGGGTTTAGAGGTTGGGGGGTTAGGGGTTAAGGGTTGGGGCTTGGATCTTGGGGCTTTTTGGGCTCCGGGGCCCTCATTGGTTCTAGTCTACCAGGGTTTAGGGTTTAGGGTTTAGGGTTTAGGGTTTAGGGTTTGGGGTTAAGGGCTTCAATTCAAGGCTATCGGCAAGCCCTCAACCCGAACCATCAGTGAGCGCAGGCCCATGCGAACCCTAACCCGAAAACCGTAAAGCCTAACCCCGAAACCCTAAGCCCTAATCCCTAAACCCTAAACCCTAAACCCTAAACCCCAAACCCTGAACAACGACTTCGGTGCAAGTAGCAGTCCAGGTATGCCAGTGGCACCTCCCGGTGGAGGAAGCTGTAGAAGGGCGTTGAGTGACCTCGGGCTCTTGAGGGATTTAGGGATTAGGGTTTAGGGTTCAGGGTTCAAGGGTGTAGGGGCACGTCCAAGCTTTGCATGCGGCAAGATCTTCGAGAGAAATCTACTATTGATGGTTAGGGCTTCGGGTTTCGGGTTCCTTGAAACGTCGCGGCAGAGGTGCCCGGCTCATGGCCCTAGGCTTCCTTACAAATCATATAAGCATGCCCCCAACCAAGGGCAACTTTTGGGAACGTTCGTCCCCCACTGCGCTAAACCCCACAAAAGCCTCAACTCTAGACCCTAAACCCAAAAACCTAGAGCCACACAAGCCAGGCCACAATGCGTCAGGAAGAAGACCCCTGCGGTGCCTGGCTTTCAGCGGGGCTTCGGGTTCCAGGGCTTCGGGGCTGACGCTTCAGGGCTTGGTTAGAGTTTGGGATTTCGGGTTTGGGGTTTAGGGATCAGGGCTTGGGCTTTCGGGTTTGGGGTTTGTTGTGGGCTTTCAGAGTTGCGATTAGAGTTCTTGTAGGGATTGCTCCTCTCCGTGCGTCCGCAGATGCAAGCTCCACTGGCAAGCGTCGCAGAATCACTTAGGGCTTGTAGGGATTGCACTTGCTTTAGTTGAGTGTCGTGCTGACCTGCTCACCGTGTCACTGGAAATGACCTGAGAGACGACCTAAGCCTCAAAGCCTTTTTACGCTAGGAAGGACTCCAGAACCAACATCGCTGTAAGGGATATTGGATTCAGCACGGCTGCTGCAAACCCTAAAAGCAACGTCATTTATGTGAGACCCGTTCTCAAGAAACCAAATTTCGAAGGCATCTATATAAGTTGACCCCAACTCAGAACCCCTAAATGCTGAACACCTGGACCCAAGAGCAACCAAGGAATAAAGGGGTGCCCCTTCTGATTTAGAGGGACTTATCCCTAAACCCTAAACCCTAAACCCTAAACCCTAAACCCTAAACCCTAAACCCTAAGGGTACCTAAACCCTAAGAAAAGAGGGAATCACGGCCTAGACACCAATTCCCCTCCCTAAGCGCCCGAGTCCCGAAATTCAGCCTGGGGGCTGAGCTCGCAAGTGTGACATGACCTCAAAGCAACTTGAGGGTTTGGGGTTTAGGGTTTAGGATTTAGGGTTTAGGATTTAGGGTTTAGGGTTTAAGGTTTAGGGTTTAGGATTTAGGGTTTAGGGTGTAGGGCTTACGGCTTAGGGCTTAAGGCTTAGGGCTTAGGGCTTAGGGCTTAGGGCTTAGGGCTTAGGGCTTAGGGCTTACAGATTAGGGCTTAGGGCTTAGGAACCAGAAGGGACCAGGAAACGTCCCTAACCCTAACCCTACACCCTACACCCTACACCCTACACCCTACACCCTAAACCCTAAACCCTAAACCCTAAACCCTAATTTAATTGAACCCACCCGCAACCCTATTGCGAAATTCAGCTTTGGGCTTGGGAACTTCACAGCTTTCAGGGCTTTTCCGCGCGCCATGGATTTTTGGGTTTAGGGTTTAGGGTTTAAGGTTTAGGGTTTAGGGTTTAGGGTTTAGGTTTTAGGGTTTAGGGTTTAGGGTTTAGGGTTTGGGGTGTAGGGTTTAGGGAACCCTAAACCCTAAACTCTAAACCCTAAACCCGAGCCCCTAAGTCCTAAACCCCGAACCCCCGAAATCCCAAACCCAAAACAACAAGCCCCTAAAAACTAAACCCTGAACCCTAGACCCCCAAACCCCCGAAATCCCAAACACTGAGCCCTAACCCAAACAACAAGCCCTAAACCCTAAACCCTAAATCCTAAACCCTAAACCCTAAACCCTAAAACCCTAACCCCCCTAAACCCCCTAAATCCCTAGCCCCCAAAAGGTTGGCCCGGGTGCGCCCTCGGCGCCCCTCTGATGGACCACACAGAAGAGGAGGGCGGCAACCACCTCCGGGAAGAGCATGGGGTTTAGGAGCGTTTAGGGTTTAGGGGTTTAGGGTTTAGGGTTTATAGAAATTGTATAGGGTTTGGGTCCCAATAACGTTTCGAACGAAAGTTTCGAACGAAACGTTTCGAACGAAACGTTTCGAACGAAAGTTTCGAACGAAACGTTTCGAACGAAAGTTTCGATTTTTCAAATCCCCTGGGCAAAGATGTGGAGAGAACTGGGAGGAGATCTGGGAGGGAGATCTGCGGGAAGATCTGGGGGGGATCTGGAGGGGATGACAGGAGGGGATGAGAGGGGAGGGGATGAGAGAAGAGGAGGGGAGGAGGTGGGGGGGGGTCTGTGGGCAGATCTGGGGAGATCTGGGCGGGGATGAGAGTTGGAGATAAGAGGGGAGGGGATGAGAGAGGAGGGGAAGGAGGGGACGAGAGGAGGGGAGGAGGAGGGGGGGGGGGGGAGGAGGTTTGACCGCAATTAGAAAAACCGCATTTTTCATTGCGGGCACGGGCAAATCCTGGGGTCCCTTCCTGGTCCATTTTTCAAATTGTTCCCAGCCGTGGAACGCAGTGGACTTGGGGCCTCTCGGGGGCTTCCTGGGCTTTCCTGGCCTTTCTGGAGCCCGCCGGTCCGCTTCCTGGCCATGAAGACGGACCGTGATCTCGGTCCCGAGAGGTTCCCCGGGCCGGATCACCAAAATTGGATGTTCGGAAACATCGAAGTGCAGATGGACTCTCAAATGCTCATAGACGACGGGGTCCAAGCCGCGGGTCCTTAGAAATTTAATGGCTTCAGTAAAGTTAAGGCATCGAAAGGATAAGCTGAGAAACCGACTCGAAGCTGTACGCCGGCACGACGCTATTGGCCGCCCGGTTCTCTGACATGCGGGACTTTTTCAGCTGGTTCTTGGAGACCTACAAGGCAACCAGAATCCATACGAACCATAAATACAAAGTGCTCATGCGGCCTTCTGCGTCATCTCGAAGGATGAAGACTGGGCTAATGCCGAACAAGTTCACTTGAGCCAACAGTCTACGGAAGTAGTACTGCATTCACAGTATTGACAGTGCGGGAACCTTCTATGGATCTCGTTAGAGCCTTCATAGCGGTTGCCAGCCGCCGAGTCAGGAGGGTCGATAACATCTGGCCGTTTCCTTAAACCCAATTTTCAAGTGAGCATATGCCGGCAGGCTGGCTCGCACACGCGCGCGCAAGCACGTGCTCCAATTTCAAAATCAATGATTTCGAATTTTCGGCGCCTGCCAGCCCATCAAAACGCAGACGTTTTCATCAAAACTCAAAACGTAGTAGTAGTAGTAGTAGTAGTAGTAGTAGTAGTAGTAGTAGTAGTAGTAGTAGTCGTCGTCGTCGTCGTCGTCGTCGTCGTCGTCGTCGTCGTCGTCGTCGTCGTCGTCGTCGTCGTCGTCGTCGTCGTCGTCGTCGTCGTCGTCGTCGTCGTAGTAGCAGTAGCAGTAGCAGTAGCAGTAGCAGTAGCAGTAGCAGTAGCAGTAGCAGTAGCAGTAGCAGTAGCAGTAGCAGTAGTAGTAGTAGTAGTAGTAGTAGTAGTAGTAGTAGTAGTAGTAGTAGTAGTAGTAGTAGTAGTAGTAGTAGTAGTAGTAGTAGTAGTAGTAGTAGTAGTAGTAGTAGTAGTAGTAGTAGTAGTAGTAGTAGTAGTAGCAGTAGTAGTAGTAGAGTAGTAGTAGTAGTAGTAGTAGTAGTAGTAGTAGTAGTAGTAGTAGTAGTAGTAGTAGTAGTAGTAGTAGTAGTAGTAGTAGTAGTAGTAGTACAATAGTACAGTGGCACCGTCGTAGTACAAGTGCAGTCGTACAGTAGTAGTACAATTGTACAGAAGTAGTACAGTTGTAGTAGTACAGTCGTACAGTACTGCAGTAGTACAGAAGTACAGCAGTACAGTAGTGCAGTAGTATGGTAGTACAGTAGTACAATAGTACAGTACTGCAGTGGTACAGTAGTACAGTGGTGGTACAGTAGTCAACAGTGGCAGGGTCGTATACATTGTAGAACAGTAGTAACTACACATTATTCTCTCCAAGGTGTCAGAGTCCCAACAGCTCAGTGGTTAAACTTCAAAGTTAGTTCCCGGAGCTCAAAATTAGCTCCCGGAGCTCAAAATTAGCTCCGGAGCTCAAAATTAACTCCCGGAGCTCAACATTAGCTCCGAGAATTCAAAATTAATTCCCAGAAGCCAAAAAAAAGACAAAGGAGGTTTAAGTAAACTGCGTAGCCGTGACTAGGCAAAAGGAATTTAGGGCTCAGACAAATAACTTGGGAAATTCATAATGATAACACATACAATTTCTACTTATTTTGTCTTGAGGGTTTAGGGTTTAGGGTTTTGGGTTTAGGGTTTAGGGTTTAGGGTTTAGGGTTCAGGGTTCAGGGTTTGGGGCTGAGGGTTTATGGGTGTCAAGGTTTAGGGGTTTCAGGGTTTCAGGGATTAGGGTCTAGGGCTTCAGGGTTTCGGGGTTTCAGGGCTTGCCCTGCGCACATGTGCCACGAGCGTGAAAACTCAGTTTTATTCTGCCATCTTCTGTGGCTGCGACTAAGGCGCTCAAAAACACATGCTGCCGAGATGTTCGAAGGGTCAAGCCGCGGAAGACATGACACAAACAGGCGTTTCCGGAAATAAGGGTATCCACCATAGTCCTATGTACCTCCCAACCGGGTACAATCTTTATTGCACATCCACCAGACAGAGAATCCTAAACTTACACCCCACACATCAGCCCTCATCCCCAAACCCCAAACCCCAACGCCATATCCCCAACCTCTAAACACCCTAACTAATCCCCAAGACCCGAACTCCACACACTGACCGTAAACCCTCGTCCCCCCAAACCTAAAACCACAAACAAAAAGATGCCACATGGCTTAACATATGCTTGGAAAACACAAAACAACTATGTTCCCACAAAGCATCCTCATACCTGAGACACCCCCCAAACCCCGAACCCTAAACCCCAATCCTCCGAGGACGAACCTGCGGCACAAACACGACGCTCAGCAGGGGCCAACTGACGCCCACGGCCGCCTCGGGGATCAGCTGCAGGGAGTGCTGCTTTAGGAGGGACTTGGCAGCTCTTCACTATGCCGGCGTAGACCCCGGCCCGTGCAAGATCCCAGCAAGATAGTAGGCCAAAAGCACTCCCAAATGACCCCCAATAAGCACTCCAAGACCACTTCAAGAGCACTCCAAGGTCTACGCGGACCAAGCCTACCACTGCGCATGAAGGCGGCACGAAACCTAAAGACACGGGCCAACACAACGCTGGCTGCCGTAGGGCCTAAAAGGGACGACACCACAAAAAGCAAATCGCCTGAGAAAACGGAGCCGCCAGCCCAACCTCATGAAAGCGCGTGCTGCTTCGCGACGTGGGACGGCGAAAGCCGCAAAAAATGGAAGGGATCTAGGCTGGAGGTTTAGGGTTTAGGGTTTAGGGTTTAGGGTTTAGGGTTTAGGGCTTAGGGTTTAGGGTTTAGCGTTTAGGGTTTAGGGTTTAGGGCTTGGGACCCCTCATCCCTCTCGATGTTTGCGGCCTGAAGCGCGCAAGGGACACAGACGAGAGCGGCGCTGGAATGTGCACGGGCAGGAGCGCTCAGGAGCGAAGACCGCGCGCACGCGCTGCGAGGTCCCTAAACCCTCAACCCTGCACCCTCAATGCACCTAAACCCTAAACCCTAAACCCTAAACCCTAAACCCTAAACCCTAAACCCTAAACCCTAAACCCTAAACCCTAAACCCTAAACCCTAAACCCACCCCCAACATGAGAGAACCTCCAGAGTGCAGGCCTTGCCCGCCCGGCGCAGGCAGGCGTCGTTGCATCTCTGGAGGCCAGCCCCTGCCACATAGGGCTTGTTCTATATTGGGGGTTGGGGGTTGGGGGTTTAGGGTTTAGGGTTTAGGGTTTAGGGTTTGGGGTTTGGGGTTTGGGGTTTGGGGTTTAGGGTTTAGGGTTTGGGGTTTGGGGTTTGGGGTTTGGGGTTTGGGGTTGGGGGTTGGGGGTTGGGGGTTGGGGGTTTGGGGGTTTGGGGGTTTGGGGGTTTGGGGGTTTGGGGGTTTGGGGGTTTGGGGGTTTGGGGGTTTGGGCGTTTGGGCGTTTGGGGTTTGGGGTTTGGGGGTTTCGGGTTTAGGGTTGCGGGTTGAAGGCTTAGGGTGCTGGCGGGTGGGGCTAAAGCGAAGAGATACTTCCCATAATTTATACCTCATCCACTTTTGCTCTCATCTACCAAAGGCATGGGTTGAGAGCTTGCGAGGTTTGCACTCCCTAAACTTAGGTTTTAGCTGTACCATCATTTTGACATCGCCGCTATGGCCATATCGTCCAGCCGTTACAGCAATACGGGTTGTCCGCCACACCCCTGTCCGTTACGGGATTTGCAACGCAAACGCCCTTGTCCGTTACAGGGTTTATGTTGTAACAGAGCTGTCACGCAGCTGCAACGGAGCTGCAACGAAGCTGTAACGGTATATAACGGAGCTGCACCAGAGCTGTAACCGAGCTGTACGGAGCTGTAACGGAGCTGTAACGGAGCTGCGACGGAGCTGCAACGGACGCTGTAGCGGAGCTGTAATGGACCTGTACGGGACGCTGTAGCGCAGGTACAACGGAGCTGTAACGGACGGAGCTGTATCGGTGCTGTAACGGACTGTAGCGGAGAGGTCCGCAGCGCTGATGCAAACTGCATAGCAGATGATGGCAGAGGTACCACCTAACCCGAAACCATAAACCCAGAAAACCCTGAGCCTAAACCCTAAACCCTGAACCTCAAAACATTGAGTCGAAGGTTTACGGGTGTCGGACCCCCAAGGCTCCGTTTTTAGGACGGAATTCCCACAGACGTGGTTAGGGCTTCGGGCTCAGGACCCAAGGGTTTAGGGTTTAGGGTTTGGGGTTTAGGGTTTAGGGTTTAGAGTTTAGAGTTTAGAGTTTAGGATTTAGGTTTTAGGGTTTAAGGTTCGGGGTAAACCCCCAAAAAATATACGTTGGGCAAAGGGCAAAGCAATGGAGCGGGTCACTACACGTTCCACATCGTCTGTTCGCAAGAATGCCAATTGAAAGACCACCAACAAACCAAACCTGCTTTGGCTTTAGGCATTAGGGCTTACACCCACCCTGCATGTGCTTCAAGTGCCCAAGGAACCTAAGTTGATAGCCCATTGTTGAGTTGAGGGTTCAGGGTCTCGCTTTCGGGTTGAAGGGTTTAGGGTTTAGGGCCTAGGTCTCAGGGCTTAGGGGTTAGGGCTTAGGGGTTAGGGCTCAAGGAACCCAAGACCTAACCGCCCCACCCCTCCTAACCCAAAACCCATGAAGATCTCAGAGCCCCTAAACCCTGAACATCCCCAAATCCTAAACCCTAAAACCCTAAACCCTTAACCCTTTTTCATGTGGCAAGCGCCAAATCCGCCTGAGAGCAGCGAAAACAGCGGGAAGAAGGGGAGCCTTGGGCGTGCAGGGGATTCGTGGTTTGGGTTTAGGGTAGGGTTTAGGGTTTAGGGTTTAGGGTTTCGGGTTTAGGGTTTAGGGTTTAGGTTTTAGGGTTTAGGGCTTAGGGCTGCTTAGGGCTTGGGGTTTAGGGCTTGGGGTTTAAAGTTTTTGGCTTGGGGCTTAGGGTCTAGGGTTTAGAGTTTAGGGTTTGGGATCCAACCCCCTGAAACCCCATCAACCCTGATTTCAAAGGGATGAGGCCCCCCAAGTACAAGTAGAGCTTCAGGCAAGCAGCAGAAAGCGGTACTCCTGGAGACAGCACGGCGCTCTTTAAGTATCTTGTAGTGTGCCCCAATGGCTATATAACAACTTCCTCATAGTTGTCATAGTTAAAATGCTATTAACAGCCCGGCCGTTCATGCGTTTGCAAACTTGCTCATGGAGGAAAAGCGCATAAGAAACGCGTCCAAAAGGCGAGGTTAAACAAGGTAGCTTAATGGGTTGGTTTGGTGGTGCTCACTCGTCTCCTTCGTTCGCCTGCTGTCGGTCGTGTCGAAAGGCTTGGGTTTTTGAGCCACCCTAAACCCTCAACAAGCAACTACTAAACCGCCCAGAGGAAGTCATAGTGCTGTGCATTGGTTAGGATTTCTGGAATTTTCCTTAAAGTTTCTTTCATCATGGAACATCATACGGTAGTTATATGAGAGAGAGAAACAAAAAACTAATCACATTCGCTTTACTAATTTTGAAGACGCCAAAAAAAGGAAATACTGGTACATGCGCTCACTCGTATTAGAACGTCGAGAGTGAGCGCACAAGAGCACATAAAATGTTGCATGAACTGTGTGAGTGCGTGAGTTGAAATTGCAAGTGAGCCAGTGAGTGAGCAAAGAATGCGCAAAACAGATCTTTCACGCGCGCATAGTAATGGCATTGGTTCAGGATTCTGGCTGTACCCTATGCTTCCAGGGACCTGATAAAGTGTGTCATTAAGTCATTAAAGGCTCTAGGAACCTAATTATTAGGTTCCCATAGCGTCATGGCTTAGGGTTCAGGACTTCGGCGTTCCGGTTTCGGAATCCGTTCCGGGCAAAGCCAACGTCGTACCGTGACAGGCTGCCAACCAACATTCGATCAGGCTAAAAGCCTACGACTTCGTGGCATTGAAGGCCGAGTAGAGGAACCGTCTTCCCACAACCCGAATCCCACCCCCAAAAGGTACTACGTGGAATGAACCCTGAAGCCTAAAGCCCCAAACCCAAACCCCGCCCCAACAGAACAAATTAATAGATGAACAATGAAAAAAGAGCTGAGAAGAATACGTAAAATGTCATCAATCTGATCACATTAGCAAAATAAACTGGACCAAACCGCCCGTCAAGCCAAAGGAACAAAAGCTATTTCGAACATTCCACCACAATTTGATGGGCTGACCTGAGGGGGGTGCACTCCCGGAAATACACTGGTGGGATACTCTGACTCTGGAGGTGGGATACTCTACAGGATTTTTGGCCCGGGCATGCGGGGCTAGGGCCTGCCGTCTGTCAAGGCGGACCTGAACACTAAGCCAAAACCAGAAACATGTATATGTAGGGTTTAGGGTTTAGAGTTTAGGGTTTAGGGCGAAACCAACGAATTAAACCAGGCGCGTGGAACCAAAGCCTTCAACCCCAAGCCAAGTCCCCCCCCCTCTCAAAAGAACAACCGAACCCTCTACAGCTACGTCCTCAGCCGAAACCTTCCAAGAAAACTACCGCGGCGTAAGCCCTAAACCTGCTGAAACCCTGAGCCAACCGCTTAGCCAGAACCATCTTACACCGTAAACCCTAAACCCTAAAGCTTTCCTTGTGAGATGCCAGCGACAGCAGCGCCAAGGCTGCCACAGTGCCTACCTTGGGAAGGGCAAAAGTTCGGCGGTTTGAAGGTTTAGGGTTTAGGGTGCAGGGTTTAGGGTTTAGGGTGTAGGGTTTAGCGGTTTTAGGGTTTGATGGGTTTGGGGGTTCAGAGGCTTAGGGATTTAGGACCCTACATCCAAAACCTTAGAATCCCTAAGCCTGTGCCCCAAATTCTGAAAACCCTCAACCCCTAAAACCCTAATCGCCAAAGACCTTAAACCCCTAAACCCTAAACCCTAAACCCTAACCCCTAAACCCTAAACCCTAAACCCTAAACCCTAAACCCTAAACCCTTCTATTTTTAAACCAGACCGCGGCACCGCAGGGCCGGCCAGCGCAGCTCGGCCCAAAGAGCGGAAGGCCAGGAAAGCACCTTAGGGCCCCTCTTAAACCCCCTTAGGGTTTAGGGTTTAGGGTTTAGGGTTTAGGGTTTAGGGTTTAGGGTTTAGGGTTTAGGGTTTAGGGTTTAGGGTTTAGGGTTTAGGGTTTAGGGCTTTCGGGCTTTAGGGCTTGAGGGCGCTAGGGGCTTTGGGGTTTAGGGTTTAGGGTGCAAAAGTGTTTTATACGGTGTTGTAGGATTTTTTATAAGGTTTTGTAGGGTTTTATAGGGTTTTATAGGTTTTTATAGGGTTTTCTAAGGGTTTTAGGGTTTAGGGTTTGAGGGGGAAGGAAGGGGGAAGGGGGGGAGGGGGCAGGGGGCGGGCGGCTCCGCGTTGGACCAGGGCTTGTTAAGGTGTTAGGGTAAGTCGGGTGGATAGAGTAGTTCTACACTGAACTTTTGGAACCCTAGTTGCT